GCCTCCTCCCCTGCCGTGCGCCCCTCCTCCCTCGCCGTGCGCCCCGCCTCCCTCGCCGTGCGCCCCGCCTCCTCCCCGCGCGCCCCGCCCCCCCAGCCTTGCGCCTTGCCTTCTGCTGTGTGCCCGGCTTCCTGAGCTGATCCACCCAATACCAGGGAGGGAGGGAAGGAGAGAGTGTGTGAGTGCGCACGCGCGCTGTACCAGGTAGGAGGGAGGGTGTGTGTATCCACCGCCACTGGGGAGGCGCCTTCAGATGGCCCAAGGTCCCATTAACAAGTGCTTTTATTGAGTTTACTACAGGAGAGTAGGTGCAGAAAGTAAGGTACCAATATCTTTGACAACGCCAACATATGACATAATTTTGTTTGCAAGTGATAAATGACTTACTCATCTTGGGAAGTGGAGGTAAGCACTAAACAACGATTTAGGATTTGTATAAGCTTTGTCTACCCCCAGGCTCCCAGACAGCTTGGGGGCCTGACCAACACACACTTCAGGTAGTAACCTGAATCTTTGTTAAGCCAGGACGTTTGATCTTTGCAGGGCAAACTCCAGCATGCTGAGGGTCTCGTTAGAGAATTGGCGTTCCAATTCTCTTTCCCTATCAGACCTCCTAGTTTCCCTTACCAATACAAGGGGTGTGTTTGTGTGTGTGTTGGTCCTGGGGCTTGAGCTCTAACACTTGAGCCACAGCTCCAATTGTGGGTGTTTGGTGGTTAATTGGAGATAAGATTCTCCTGGATTTTCTGCCCAGGCTTGTATCAAACTACAGTCCTCAGATCTCAGCCTCCAGAGTAGCTAGGATTACAGCCATGAGCTACTACAGTTGATTTTGAATAGTGATGTATGTCAGAAAAATCCACAGAACATTTTATCATTCTGAAGCAAAATATGATAAAAAGTCTAGTAATTGTAGAGTTCTTGCGCTCCCTCCCACACACTATTTTTTTAATAAACGTATTTTTTTATTGTGAAAATACTGTACAGAGGGGTTACAATTACATGGGCAAGATAATGAGTACATTTCTTATCAAGCATTGTAGCCTCCTCCTTTATTTCCCCTTCCCATCCCTTTGCATCCTCCCCCCCCCCACCAAAGTTGTAAAGTTCATTTTTGACATAATGACTTGTACATCTCATTGTTGCAATGGGTCCTCCTGTATCCCTGTTTTAACAATTTGTTTTTTCCCTTCCCCTCCACATATACCACCATCATATATAGTGGAAGCAGGGATTATACCGTGGGGGAGGGACATACAAAGCAACAAAGACACAATCTTATAAATATATTAGAAACAATCGCATGAAAGATCTCTTTTTTTTTTTGGTCAGTTGCACACACTGTATTTCTTTTATGCAAACAGTAAGTAGAAGATATATGAAATCTAAGGTTGCATTGCACACTTTGGTAGTTTGGGAGGCCTTCAAACAATGGAGTTGCTTGAGACCATTCACTGGAGATCTCAAACTTTGTCATTCTAGCTCAGCTGCAAATTTGCTGCCAAGGTCTTGGACTTCAAAGCCCCAGAGGCCTGGCATGGTGCTGCATGCCTGTAATTACTTCCTCAGGATGCTGAGAAAGGAGAGTCCAGAGTTCCAAGCCAGCGTGGGAGGTCAAAGTAGTTCTTGAGGACAATCTGGAGAGGCCCAGAGAACCCCCACAGCCACCTGCAGAACTCTCAACAGTGGCTGTTCCTCTAGCTCCTACAAGTTGGTTCTCTTCTCCAACACCTGTATCTTATCAGGCACATTCTCTCATAGGTTTCCTTTTTACCATTTTATTTTTGTCGGTCAGAAGGCTTGAACTCGGCCCTGGATGCTGTCCCTGAGCTCTTCTGCTCAAGGCTGTAGGCACTACCACTTTGAGCCACAACTTCACTTCTGGTTTTCTGGTGGTTAATTGGAGATGAGTCTCAAGGACTTTCCTGCCCACGCTGGCTTTGAACTGTGATCCTCAGATCTCAGCCTCCTGAGTAGCTAGGATTACAGGCATGAGCCACTGGTAGTTGGCCCACAGTATTTTTGAGAGAAGCAAAGGGGAGAGTACTTCATCCATTTCCATGCCAGCTGACCAACAAAAATAAAATGGTAAAAAGGAAATCTATGAGAGAATGTGCCTGATAAGATACACGTGTTGGAGAAGAGAACCAACTTGTAGGAGCTAGAGGACAGCCACTTTTGAGAGTTCTGCAGGTGGCTGTGGGGGTTCTCTGGGCCTCTCCAGATTGTCCTCAAGAACTACTTTGACCTCCCACGCTGGCTTGGAGACTGAGAAAGGACTTCAGGCGTGAGGGCCTTCCCTTTTGTCCAGTTAGTGGTAACTAGCTGACAAGCAACAGAAGGACCTGAAAAACAGGCACTTATTTATTTTCTTTGAGCAAGGGTTGGTATAAACGATTTCAAAGTGGGAAGAGTGGAATGTAGAAGTGAACATTGAAGAGCAGGTACTTGGGCTTATTAAATATTATTAGCACCAGGAATTTTTCTTAAAGTTGTTTTTAATCTTATTTAACTTGAGGTTTAGTTATAAAACTTTCCAGTTTTCTATTTCATGCTCATTATTTACTTAAAAGAATTAGTTGGGAGGTGGAGATCAGGACGATAGTGGTTCCAACCTAGCTTGAGGGAGGAAAAAAAATGTGAGATCCTGAGGGGGAGAAAAAAAAGTCTAAACACAAAAAGGGCTGGGGGCATGGCTCAAGTGGTAGACTACTAGGCCCTGAGTTCAAATCCCAGTATTGTCCTCCCCCTACTACTACTAAATAAGTGAGCAGTTCTTAGAAGAATGTGACGCTTTGTACCTGAAGAAAATTAGGGCCAGTTCTCCCGTCATCAACCTCATCTTTGTCTTTCGTGTTTGCTCTTTCTGGCCCTTCCTGGCTTCTCTCACTTTCCTTCAGCTGGGATGAGCTCCTTTTGTTAAGTGTTTTGTGTACTTGGTAAACATATTCTTTTTGTGATTTTTCATTTAGCTCCTCATTTTTCTTTTCATAAGGCCCCAGTGTGCCCACACACCTGCTGGTTAAACCAGATAGGCTCTGTTGATTGCTCAGAAGAAAACAAAGATGATGACAAGTGGATTCAGGTGTCCAGATGCTCATTCCTGGGAAGCTTGTTAGAACTGTAGACTCCTACCTCTCTTCCCATACCTTCTGTTGCCCAGTTTGCTGTGTGTTTGTGTGTGCACATGCATGTGTGCACTAATCGTGAGACTTGAACTCAGTGCCTAGATGCTGTCCCTGAGCAACTTTATGCTCAAGGCTAAGTGCTCTTCTACTGAGTCACAGCTCCATTTCCAGACTTTCCTGCCTGGGCTGGTTTTGAACCACCATCCTCAGATCTCAGCTTCCTGATAGCTAGGACTACCAAGTGTGAGCCACCAGTGCCTGGCTTTAATTTGTTTATTAAGAAAATTTGCTTGATTGCCTGTGCATAAGTTTAAAAATAGTGACTTTTTTATGCCAGTACTGGGGCTTGAACTCAGTTATGGTATTGTCCCTTAGCTTTTTTGCTTAAGGCTGAGCTCTCCCATTTGTGCTACAGCTCCACTTCCAGTTTTTTAGGTAGTTAATTGGAAATAAGAGTCTCATGGAATTTCTTGCTTGGATGAGCCTAGGATCTCAGCCTCCTGAGTAGCTATGATTACAAATATGAGCCACTGGTGTACAGATAAATTGTAAACTTTTTAAATTGGTTCTGGGGCTTGAACTCAGGGTCTAGGCAATGTCCCTGAGCTTTTTTGGTCAAGGCTAGCATTCTACTTCTACCACTTGAGCCACACCTCCACTTCTGGCTTCTTTGGTAGTTAATTGGAAATAAGAGTTTCATGGACTTTTCTGCCTAAGCTGGCTTTTTTTTTTCTTTTAAAAGGTTTCATTTAATAGATAAGGGCTGAAATTCACTTTCATGACACCATTCAAGGGATATAATCGCTTCTTACAGAAAAATTATTAACCTTACAAAAAAAGAATGTCATTTCAACTGTATACAGTTTCAACAATGAGCTTTGCATGTAAATACCTACATATGAATAGTAATTCAGACTGACAAAATTTTTATTGCCTAGAAATATATATATATATATATATGTAGATAAAATCCCCCACAAAAAGGTGCCATTCTTTCATTTCCCATCTTTTTTTTCAATACCTTTTGTCATAAGATGGACTGGAAAAAAATATTGTCTAGAAATATATAAAAAAGATCCCCCAAGGGCTGGGAAGGTGGCTCAGTGGTAGAGCGCTTGCCTTGCATGCTCGAGGCCCTGAGTTCGATTCCTCAGCACCACATAAGCAGAAAAAAAGCCAGAAGTGGCACTGTGGCTCAAGTGGTAGAGCGCTAGCCTTGAGCTGAAGAGCTGAGGGACAGCGCCCAGGGACAGCACCCAGGCCCAGAGTTCAGGCCCCACGACCGGACCCAAAAAAAAATCCCCCAAGTGGCTATTCTTTCATTTCCCCATCTTCTTCTTCTTCAGCACCTCTGATATAAAGAACATCGTTACATCTAAGCTGGCTTTGAACTGAGATCTTCAGATCTCAGCCTACTGGGTAGCTGGGATTGCAGGTATGAGCCATCAGCATCCAGCTAAATTGTGACATCTTGACTAAAGCTTCTACACGTTTTGTCGTATGCTCTTCCCAGCAGTTCGTACAAAGAGGTCACCTGGTAGTTGGCCTCTTGACCCCTCCAAGTTGTGTTTGTATTTTGTTATTTTCCTTGTGGAGGCAGTAGATTGCCAACTGTCTTTCTATCCAGGGCTTGATCTGTGGGATCTGCCGCTGTGCTATGGGGCCCAGACACCACATCAGGGCTTCATTTTAAGTTCTAGAAGCTAGGGGACTTAGGAACATCAAGTAACCCTGTATTTTTTCTCCCCCTTTGTTTTCCTGCAGTCTTGTGATTCGTGGTGATAAAGATGAGCAAGCTGTGCTGTGCAGTAGAGACAAAACCTACGACTTGAAGATAGCAGACACTTCGAATATGTTGCTTTTCATCCCTGGTTGTAAAACCCCAGACCAGCTGAAGAAGGAAGAATCACCACACAGCATTGTGCACACTGAGGTACTCTAATCTCTCCCCTGATTTATGCACATGTGGTTTTAAGTTAAAAACTAGGTATAAAAATTTATCATGGGAAAGCCGGGCGCTGGTGGCTCACGCCTGTAATCCTAGCTACTCAGGAGGCTGAGATCTGAGGATCGCGGTTCAAAGCCAGCCCGGGCAGGAGAGACCGTGAGACTCCTATCTCCAATAAACCACCAGAAAACCGGAAGTGGCGCTGTAGCTCAAGTGGTAGAGCGCTCGCCTTGAGCTGAAGAGCTCAGGGACAGCGCCCAGGCCCAGAGTTCAAGCCCCACGACCAAAAAAAAAAAAAAAAAATTATCATGGGAAATCTTAGTGAAGCTTAAAATTTTTCATTATTATTTTGTGTATGTGTATGTATGCTGTCCTCCGGGTCTGGGCTCTACCCCTGAGTTTTAGTGCTCAAGGATAGCACTCTACCACTTGAGCCATAGCTCTACTTTCATTTTTTTGTGGTTAATTGGAGATAAGAGTTTTATGGACTTTTCTGCCTGGGCAGGCTTTAAACTGCAATCCTCAGATCTCAGCAAGTAGCAAGGATTACAGGTGTGAGCCACCAGTGCCTGCCATATAATTATTATTTTTTTTTGGAAACTCAAATTTGAACTGAGAGCCTTGCTCTTGCTACAGAGACCCTCCACCACTTGAGACCCACCATTTGTTATTTTTGTTTGAACTATCTATGAGTCTATCTTTATTTTCCCAATTGATTTTTGTGGGCATATGTGCTGGGGGCTTGGGCTCTGGGACTTGAGCTCTCTCTCAGCTTACTTGCTCATGGCTGGTGCTCTATCACTTGAATCACACCTCCAATTCTGGCTTTTTGTTGATTATTTGGAGATAAGAGTCACTTAGATTTGTCTGCTGGGACTGCCTTCAAACTGACATTCTCAACTCTCAGCCTTCTGAATAGCTAGGATTATAGGCATGAGCCTCTGGTGCTTGGCCCCATTTAGATTTTTAAATTTCATGTGAGATCTTTATTACTTAGTGCGGCAAGTTTACTACTGAAGTGACTCATCCTTAAAGTTTTACCTATTTTTAGTAGATTTTTTTCAATGGATATATTTTGAAAGTCTGTCAACCCCTGATTAGCTTTATGAGGTAGAGAAATGAAGACATTTGTGTTTTTGAAGGGAGTGTGTTTGTTAGCTTTGAAGTTGGGTTAGTTCATTAATATCTGTAGCCAACTGTAACACATTTTTAATTATTCTGGAGAATTTTGATGGCAGTTACCAAACAAAAGTCTCCCTCCTGTCTAGGTTGTGGTTACACATATAACAAAGCACAACCCTTAATGCTTTCAAAATGACTTCAAGCCAACTCTTTCCTTAAAAATGGAATTGGAGAAACAAGAAGGGGAAATGCTGGACAAGCTGGGTGATTCATATACTGTAACTAGACTAGAGGAATTTCCAGTCAATTTTTTGTATGGTTGGAAGTCTTTCATTGTGATTAGGCCCAAATATTGACAGTTTACTCTTTTGGAAAAGATGTTTTTTGTTATCCCTTATCTGTTTTTTTGTTTGTTTGTTTTTTGGTCAGTGATGGGTCTTGAACTCTGGGCGTGGGTGCTATCTGTCAGTTCTTCAGCTCAAGGCAAGTGCTCTACCTTTTGAACTACAGCACCACTTCTGGTTTTCTGATGGTTACTTGGAGATAAGAGTGTCACAGACTTTCCTGCCCAGGCTGTCTTTGAACCATGATCCTCAGATCTTAGCATCCTAAGTAGCTAGAATTATAGGTGTGAGCCACTGAAGCCTGGCTTCACTTACCTGTTTTTTAAGAATGATTGTAAAAGTATAATAATACTTACGAGTATTTTTGGGTTCTTAATTGTTAATGAGAACTCTGGGTACTGACATTGGGTAAATCTTTTTTGTTTTAGTGGTACTGGGGTTTGAACTCAGGACCTTGCACTCACTCAGCTTGCCTGGTTAGTTTTCTACTACTGGAACAATACCTCCAGCCTTGCTTTTTACTAGTTAATTGGAGATGGAGTCTAGCAAACCTTTCTGCCCAGGCTGGCTTTGAACCATGATCCTCTAGATCTCAGTCTCCTGAGAAGGTAGGATTACAGGCATAAGCCACTGGTGCTGATCTGAGCCTGAGTAAATCTTAACAAAGATCCACTCACCAAAGTTATAATGCAAAGTTATGCTTGATGTGCCTAACAAGGACACATGAATAAAATACACTGGGCCTGACAAGTAACACTAGATTCCAAGAAGTGGCAAGGACTGTTTTATTTAAATCTATGGCTAGTTGGACCATAAATGCTGAGTGGGTGGGGATGTGTGTGGCTACTTGAGGGTGAGCAGGCCACGCATTTCTGTCTTGCTTTTTGTTGCTGTTGGTGGTTAGGTTTGTTTTTCATTCCCAGTACAGCTCAAAATTTGGATTTTGGGGGATGGGAAGGTAGTTCAGTGGTAGAGTGCTTGCCTTGCATGCATAGGAACCTGGGTTTGATTCCTCAGCACCACATAAGCACAAAAAGCCGGAAGTGGAGCTGTGGCTTAAGTGGTAGAGTGCTAGCCTTGAGCTGAAGAGCTGAGGGACAGTGCCCAGGCCCAGAGTTCAAGCCCCACAACCAGCCAAAAGAAAAAAAATTGGATTTTGGTGGTAAAATTTCCTAAAAATTTTTAAACATATCTTTTAAATATCCTTTTTATATATTAAAGATCTTTTTAATTTAAATGCTAGGTCAACTTCTTCCTCTCCTGCACAATATAGAGGCATACGTCAGTATGTGGGCATTGCATAGAATCAGATGACTACTACTTTGAACTTGGAACCGCAGATAGAATCCATCTTTCTGATTTGGTCTTAAAGCTTGCACTGTGTGTGTGTGTGTGTGTGTGTGTGATTTGGTCTTAAAGCTTGCGCTGTGTGTGTGTGTGTGTGTGTGTTAAAGCTTGCGCTGTGTGTGTGTGTGTGTGTACTGGTACTGCAGCTTAAATGCAAGGCCTTGCACTTTCACTTGGCTTTTTTGCTCAAGGCTGGCACTTAACTCCTTGAGCCACAGCTCCACTTCTGGCTTTTTGCTTGCTAAATAGTGATAAGAATTTCACAGACTTTCCTGCCCCTGTTGGCTTTGATCTTTGATTCTCAGATCTCAGCCTCCTGAGTAGCTAGGATTATAGGCATGAGCCTCCAGCACTTGGCTCGTGCTCTTTTGTTTTTTTTTTGGAAAGGCCTCAGATTGAACAACATCTCCTTTAGGTGCTAGACCTCATCTTATCAATCAAGCCTTTTCCCATTTTGAGAGAGAAAAATCTTCTGTTCTTCTGTCTCTTAAGTTGAAGGTCCCCCACAGATTCCATAGTTAAGTCTTACTTTCAGGAAACCCTTTCGGGTACCGACTCGGTGCTAGTCCCAAGGCTATGCCTATAGACACAGCAGGCTAGCAGGCATCCACCATCTAACCTCTGACCTCTATCATCTCAATATCTTCATATAGTAGGTGCCTTACTGTGTCATAGTCTAGCAATGGAATTAGCTGCAATTCTGTATAGTAGGATATCTTGCATTAAACAAGTTTATTTTATATCTTGCTTAATTTTGTCATCATGAATAACACAGAACCAACAGTATGTCCTTTTCCCTTTAACATTCCTTTATTATTTGAAGATTATGGTAATGTCTCTTCTTTATTTTCCATTTTTCAGTGTAAGTATATTTATTTTCAGTGATTTCTGGTGTGTCAAATTGTCACCAGGGCCTATTCTAGTTCATAAGCATACTTGATAAGTAATGCTTTGAAAAGATCTTTTTAAAAAAATTGTTGTTATTATAAAGGTGATGTACAGAGGGCCTACCATTTCATAAGTCAGTTAATGAGTACATTTCTGCTGGCCAGAGTGGTTGTACTAGTTTACATTCCAACCAACAATGCAATACGGTTTGTTTTCCCCACATAGCAACTAACATTTGTTGTTCAAATTCATGATGTTGGCCAATCTAATTGGTATGAGATGGAATCTCAGGGTTGTTTTGATTTGCATATATGGCCAGGGAAGATGAGCATTTCTACATGTGTTTCTTTGCCAGTCTTACCTCTTCTTCTGACAAGTCTCTCCTTAGCTCCCTTGCCCATTTAGTAATTAATTCTTATTAGTTTTGGGTGAGGGTCATTTCTTGAGTTCCTTTTGTACTTTTGAGTAATAGGCCTCTGTTTTGATGTATTGCTGGTAAAGATCTTCTTCCAGGAAAAGATCCTGAGAATAATCAACCATCTACTTGAAATGATTGATTAAGTGCCTTCCAGAAGCAAGATAGACTACCTTGGCCCCTTTTCTTGGCTGTTGTTGAGGAAAGTTCAATAGTTTGAGTTTTGAATGAAATTTTCTTTTGGAATGGTTGCTGAAAGGTTCTATTATGATTTCTAGATCTTTGGTTTTTCTAACAATTATTGGGAATTAAGAAGATGCAGACCTAAATTAAAGAAGCTAAAGAAACTTCTGATGGAAAATACCTACGAAGGACCTGACAGTGAAAAAGAAGGTGATTTGAGTCGCTCAAAAGTAAGATTGTTGTTTTCATTGCAAATTTAAGAATTCTAAGTTTTTAATTTAAGAATTCTCATGGTGACTGTTACTTTTTGGAGTTCACATTATAGAAATTTCAAACATAAACTTGTCTTAGAAGTTGTAAAGCGGCATCTTGCCAAGGTCCTTAGCACTTTTGCCATCTGATCTCAGCAGCTAAGCAGGGCCTGTGCTGTAATCCCAGCAACTGGGAGTCAAAGGCAGGAAGATTGTGAGTTCAAGGCTACCTTGGGTGACACAGCAAGTTTGAGTCTAGCTTGGGCAATAAAGCAAGACCTTGTATCAAAACAAAAAGGAAAAAGAAGAAGCAGCCAAGTGTAGTACTTAGAATAGTAGGTGCTGTAGGTTTTAAACAAATAAATGATTGAAATAGTATCTCATTGTAGTTTTTTTTTTTGTTGGTCAGGAGGCTTGAACTCTGGGCTTGGGCGCTGTCCCTCAGCTCTTCAGCTCAAGGCTAGCGCTCTACCACTTGAGCCACAGCGCCACTTCCAGCTTTTTCTGTTTTTTTTTTTTTTTTCAAAGTGGTTACTAGAAATTTATTTAAAAATTGATTTTCTATTCCAGGACATGCAGACAGCCAGCTACCTCCAATGAAAACATACTTTAAGCCACATTTCTTGAAGTTCAATTGTTTCAAGTTGCCAGCTTTTTCTGTTTGTGTGGTGCTGAGGCATGCATGCGAGGCAAGCACTTTACCACTGTAGTTTTGATGTACATTTCTCTAATGACCAGTGACATTGAACATAATTTTATGATGACTATTTGTATATCTTTGGAGAAATGGTTAATGATATCATTTGCCTTATTTTTGTTATTTTTTATTATTGAATTATAGGAAACTTTTAATAAATGGTCCAGATTTAAGCCTCTGGTCTAACATTTGATGTATGTGAGTTATTTTTATTTATTATTTTTTTTCTTTTTTTGAGGGAGGGGGGAAGGTGCTGAACTGGGGCTTGAATCCAGGGCCTCTTGCTCTCACTTGGCTTCTTTTGCTCAAGGCTTGGTGTTCTACCATTTGATCCATACCTCTACTTTCAGCTTTTTGCTGGTTAATTGGAGATGAGAGTCTCTAAGATTTTTTTTGTCGGTCGTGGGGCTTGAACTGTGGAATCTAGGTGCTTTCCCTGCGCTCTTCAGCTCATGGCGAGCGCTCTACCGCTTGAGCCACAGCACCACTTCTGGTTTTCTGGTGGTCTATTGGAGATAAGAGTCTCACGGAGTTTCCTGCCTGGGCTGGCTTTGAACTGTGATCATCAGATCTCAATCCCTTGAGTAGCTAAGATTGTGGGTGTGAGCCACCGGCACCTAGCTTGATTTTTTTTTTTTTTAAATTTTAGTAACATATAACATAGCACTTACCACTTTAACCATTTTTAAGAGTGAATTCAGTAACAGTAAGTACATTCAAGTTGTGTGCAAATCTATTACTAGAGCATTTCTAGCCTCCTAAACTGAAACTTTATACTCCTTCAGTAATAATTCTCTACCCCTACTCTCCTCTCTCCTGAGACAATGGCCACTTCATTCTACCTTCGGATTCTGAATTCAGTTACTCTAAGTATATCATAGGAAGATAGAAATCATCTTTTGTATCAACAGTGCTTTGAAGTACAAGGTTACTATTTTGATGAAGTCCAGTTGATCTATTTTTTTTTTTTTATGCCAGTCCTGGGCTGGAACTCAGGTTCTGGCACTGACCTTGAGCTATTATACTCAAGATTGGAGCTTTTCCACTTTAGCCACAGCTCTACTTCCAGTTTTTCTTGTTCACAAGTTTGCTTTAAACCAGGATCATGTGATCTTAGTCTCTTGAGGAGCTACGATTATAGGTATGAGCCTTTGGTGCCCAGCTGATCTACATTTTCTTACATTGCTTGTGTTTTTGGTGTTGTATTTAAGAAACCACAGCCATAATCAGTGAAGATTTATCTCTGCTTTCATATCATAATCATATATCAATGAAAGAAACTAGTGCATAAATATTGCCTTATTCTGTTCTATGCATTCCCCGAAGTTTAACAAGAAACCTGAAATAATCTTCAAAGTATTAAAGTGTGTGGTTTTTGTTTTCAGTATACAACTGAAGATTTGCTTGATAAAATCCAAGCAAGTGAAGAAGAAATAATGACCCAGTTGCAAGTTCTAAATGCCTGTGAGATTGGAGGTAGTGTTATTTACTATTGCCATTTGTAATGATGGAATTGGATATCACATGAGAGAAATCTTTACCCTATTGCATCTTCATTCTTCTTTGAGGCTCAGAGATGATGACATTAGGAGCTGGGATATAACTCTGTAGAGTGCTTGCTTAGCATGTACTCAATCCTGTATTTAAGCTATAGAATCAAAAATGAAAGTGGTATTTTTGGGGGAGGTGGTAGGGAATAGAGACCATGTGTGATTCTAGCGGTCAGTCTATCACTGTGACATTAACCATTCCCTTGGATTAAGCCATAATAGAAGAACTGTTTGATTGAGAAGGGTCTTTAGATATTAGGTATTCTAATGATTTCATTTCCTTAAAATATTTTTTAATAGATAAAAACATTAAGGCCTAGGAAGGAGAACTAATTTGTCTAGGGCTACATGTTGGGTTAGAAGGTAGGTCTTTGAACTAATTTTTCAGAATGAAAATGTAATAATCTCATTGTACTGCCAAATTGTTTAGAAGATGGAATTCTGAAACAAATGCTAATAATTGTGTGCATATGTGTGTGTGTGTGTGTATGTATGTATGTATGTGTTGTTCTGTTTTATTCTTTGTGCCAGTACTTGGGCTTGAACAAAGGGCCTGGATGCTGTCTCATAGTATTTTTGCTCAAGGCTGGTGTTCTATCAATTGAGACACGCCTCCTCTTCTGGCTTTTTGGTTGTTAATTGGAAGTAAGACTCTCACAGACTTTTCCTGCCCAGGCTGGATTTGAACCATGATCCTCAGATCTCAGCTTCCTGAGTAGCTAGGATTATGATTCATTAGCACTCAGTTTGAGATAAGGTTTTTAATTCCTGCCATATGGACACCCTAAGTGTTAAAGTTAAGAGGGGAGCAGACAAACCAAACAATATATCGATATATAAGCTTTCTGCATCATTTCCTGATGGCCAGAGGAATGGATAGTTTTCTTATGGTAGATATAGATTCCTTCTAGCTCTCTTGTTTTACATCACACAGTCTACTTCCCTTCCTCCCCTTCCTCTAAATTCTTTCCTTCTTCCTCTCCTTTCTTCCTTTCCAATTTCCCTTTTTCCCTTCTCCTCTCTTCTGCCTTCCTTCTGTCTGTCTTTGTGTCTTTCTGTCTTACCATCCTGCTTGAACTCAGGATTTGTGCTTGCAGGGTCTTTACTGCCAAGCTACATCTCCAGCTCACAACACACAACACAATATTAAATGATTGGGAAGGTGAGGAGTGTACCTCAGGAGTAGAACATGAACTAGTATGCACAAGGCCCTGGATTCAATCCCAACACCAGAACTAAAACTAAAATTAGAATGATTGGGAGAAAAGCTAAAAAGAATCATTTATAAAGAAAATGAGGACTTTCAAGTGTCTTTTTTTCTTGCAATGGGCAAAGATTATACTACAACTTTATTCATCTATTATCTGATTTATTTAAGATGTGTTTTTATTTAAAAATTTGTTATCTTTTATTAAATAAGTTTTTTATTGTGAAAATACTGTACAGAGGAAGGGTTACAGTTACATGAGCAAGGTAGTGAGTACATTTCTTATCAAGCATTGTTGTCTCCTGCTGCTTTGTTTTTCACCTACCATCTTTTTTTTTTTTTTTGGGTCCAGTTGTGGGGCCTGAACTCTGGGCCTGGGCGCTGTCCCTCAGCTCTTCAGCTCAAGGCTAGCGCTCTACCACTTGAGCCACAGCGCTTTTTTTCTTTTTGCTTATGTGGTTCTGAGGAATCGAACCCAGGGCCTCAGGCTTGCAAGGCAAGCGATCTACCACTGAGCCACCTTCCCAGCCCCCCACTACCATCCTTTCTATGTAAGAATTTTTTTGGTAAATTGAACTTTTGGGATTTGTAGGTTATTGGAGGATTCTTGAATTCGATTATGAGATGAAACTTCTCAGCCATATAACTCAGCTTGTGGATTCAGAATCTTGGTCTTTTAATAAAGTTCCTTTGAACATATGCCTTCAGGAACTTGGACCATTGGAGCCAGAGTAAGTATCTTAATTATTTGTTCCACTACAGTTCCTAAAGGGGAAGAATTCTTTTTCAGACTAGAACTCAGTCCAGGTTATATACTATATATATTTTGAGAATATAGAAAAAATTTAAAATACACAATCAGACAAGATTTGGGAATTTTTATCACTGGGATGGATAATTCTTTCTTTTTTTGTCATAAAAATGTAAAGAAATAATTGTTATATTTGAACTATTTAATAATAGTAAATATGTGGTGACATAACTCATAATGTATAATGTAGAGATGAGACATAGTTGCTTCCTAGAATATTTTAGTTCCTGATTTAAGTAAAATATTATTTGGCAACTATATAATATTTCTCAGATTTATATATTAGCAATGGGGTTTGAAATATGGACTGAAAATGTTGATAATTTTTCAAATGGGTGGTTTTAATTTTTCAGAGAAATGATAGAGCACTGTCTTAAATGTTATGGAAAGAAATATACAGATGAAGGTAAGATTTGGAAAGTACTCAAATGGGTATTTTAATTTTTGTGTGTGAAAATTAAGTAGGCTTTTCTGAAGTGTGTTGGTGTTGAAAAATGAGAATGGGATGATATTGACCATGACGCATTGTGCTTACTCTGATTTGTTGAATTGAAATCCTTTTTTTATAACAAGACCAAAAAAAAAAAAAAAAAGAACCTTAGGACTGTGGGAAGTGAGTGGAGATGTGTAGTTCCTTTTGAAAACTGCATTGAGGAAAAGAAAATGTCATTATTGTAATTCTTGAAACTCTAATGTCTTTTCCATAGGTGAAATTTACTTTGAATTAAATGCTGATAAGATATGCAGAGCCACAGCACAAATGTTACTTCAGAATGCAGTGAAATTTAATCTTGCTGAGTTTCAAGAAGTGTGGCAACAGAGTGTTCCTGAAGGAATGGTGACCAGACTTGACCAGCTCAAGGTAATGCCAATTGGGGTGGTTCCGAGACTTGACAGATGGTGCTAGGTGAAATGATACTTTGTTTTTTTTTTTTAAAGTGTAGTGCCCTGTTTCTTTCTTTCTTTTCTTTTTTTTTTTTTTGTCAGTCATGGGGCCTGAACTCTGGGCCTGGGCACTGTCCCTTAGCTCTTCAGCTCAAGAGTAGCGCTCTACCACTTGGGCCACAGCGCTACTTCCGGCTTTTTCTGCCTGTGTAATGCTGAGGAATCTAATCCAGGGCTCATGCATGCAAGGTAAGCACTCTATCACTGAGCCACCTTCCCAGCCCCATGATACTTGTTTAGAACTGAATTTGGAGCCAATTTATTTTTCTAGACACCCATTAGGAGTATAAGGTTCATTCAGTGAAGCACAGAACCTTAAAAACGTTCCAATACTTTAGGGAGATAAAATTTACATATAAAGCCAGGCACAGGTGGCTCATACCTATAATTCTAGCTATTCAGGAATATGAGATTTGAGGAACTTAGTACAAAGCCAGTCTAGGCTGTACAGTCTATGAGACTCTTATCTCTAACCATGAAAAATGCCAGAAGGGGAGCTTTTGCTCAAGTGGTAGAGTACTAGTCTTGAGAAAAGAAGCACCCAGGCCCTGAGTTTGAGCTCCAGGACTGGAACACATACAAAAATTTACATATAAAATTCACCTTTAAAAAATTTTGTTTTGGGGCTGGGAAAGTGGCTCAGTGGTAGAGCGCTTGCCTTGCCTTGCATGCTCAAGGCCGTGGGTTCGATTCCTCAGCACCACATAAGCAAAAAGAAAAAAGCCGGAAGTGGCGCTGTGGCTCAGTGGTAGAGCGCTAGCCTTGAGCTGAAGAGCTGAGGGACAGCGCCCAGGCCCAGAGTTCAGGCCCCACGACCGGACCCCCCAAAAAAAATTTTGTTTTCAGGCTGGGGGGGATATAGCTCAGTTGGTAAAACATGTATTTGACATGCACAGAGTCCTGGATTCAATCCCCACCAAACAAATTAATGAAAACTATTTTTAGCCAGGTGCCAATGGTTAGCTACTCATGAAGCTGGGATCTAAGGATTAAGATTTGAAGTCAGCCTGGGCAGAAAATCGAGACTCTTACCTCTAATTAACCATCCAAAGGATAGAAATGGAGTTGTGGCTCAAGTGGTAGGGCTCCAGCCTTGAGCAAAAAAGTTAAGAGAGAGCACCCTGGCCCTGAGTTCAAGACCTAGTACTGGTAAACATGCGCACCCACACCAATTTTAAAGCCAGTCATGGTGGCTATTCCTGCAAATCCAGCACTTCAGAGGCCTATGCAGGGATCACAATTTTAAAACCAGCTTGGCCTAAACTAGTGAGACCCTACGATGATCAGAAAAACCCAAAGAGTCTTAGTAAATTTACTAAGTTACGCAGCCATCACCACAAACATCTCAATAAGATCCCTTGACCCCACTTATGATTAATCCTTATTCTTAATGAGTATTTCTCAGTTCATTCTGTTTCCTTTCCTGCTGTCCCAGTTCAAACCACCATGACCTCCTGTCTCTATGGGATCAAGAGTATCATTTAGATAGTCCCTGCATTCATCATTTTGTTGCTCTTTAATCCATCCTCTGTGATGCTACTAAAATGACCTTTTCTTTTTCCCCAGTCCTGGGGCTTGAACACAGGGCTTTGGGTGCTGTCCTTGTGCTTTTGAGCTCAAGACTAGTGCTCTACCACTTGAGCTTTGGTTCCATTCTCAGCATTTTGGGGTTAATTGGAGATAAGAGTCTCATGGACTTTCCTGCCTGGACTGGCTTTGAACCAGCATGAGCCACCAGTGCCTGGCATAAGAAAAAGGATAGGCTGGGCTCTGGTGGCTCACACCTGTAATCCTAGCTGCTCAGGAGGCTGAGATCTGAGGGTTCCAAAGCCAGCCAGGGCAGAAAAGTGTGTGAGACTCTTACCTCCAATTAATCATCAGAAAACTGGAAATGGCACTGTGTCACAAAGTGATGGTACTAGCTTTGAGCAAAAGAGCTCAGGGACAGGACCAGGCCCTAAGTTCAAACCCCACAGCTGACTTGAAAAAAAAAAGCAAAAGAATAGATGGATAGAAAAATGAATTTTCCAGGCTCTCCACACTTAAATACTGTGTTTAAAAGAGTGCTGGACAAGGAATAGGTAATGGCAGGTGGTTTGAGAAATCTTGAGGCTTTAACATCTGTAGTATAGGATTTTTGTGGGTTTGTTTTGTTTTATTTTGTTTGAGACAAGATCTCACTACATAACTCCAGCTACCTTTTAACTCTCAATATTCCTGCCTCAGCCTCCCAAATGCTAGGGTTGCAGGCATGTACAACCGTATCTGGCTATTCAATTTGAATATTAGCATCTATGATAATACCTACATTTCTCATTTTCCTAAGGTTTGCGTGATAAACATAATGAGTCTGTCCGATGATTTGGATATATAGGGATTTGGGACTTGGGGATCTGAGCAGAAGATGCAGATATTACAGTCATTGGCCAGGGCATGGAAAGACCACCCATTAGGTGGAAGTTACCTGGGATACAGAGACTGGACATTAGGTTAGAAAGGTCAGGATAGAGGCCCAAAGAATTACCATATCAAAATATTTTCTGCCTAGAAAGTAGGACAGTGATATCAGAGTTGGAAAAAGATGTGAAGAGAAAGGAATACTCAACATAAACGAGAAAATAGGGCTGGTAAGGAGGATCCAAGCAGAGGTCTGCTGCAGTTGCCACTGACACGCCACGGTGATCCTTAGAACTGAAGTGGTCTTGATAAATCGGTTGTGGTAGAAACCAGACTTAGAGGGAAAAGAAGTCCTTGTTTAAAAGAGTCCTTTTAAAAACATTTTTGGAAAGGTTCTTATAACTCTGGATAGTCTATGTAAGATTCATGGTTGACATTTTAAATTTCTTGAGCAAGCTAAACCTAATGGAAAAAGAATGAGTCCTATTTAAACATTAGAGCATTATTTTTTAAAAACTATTCTTTCTTGTAGGGTTTAGCACTGGTGGATAGACACTCAAGACCGGAAATCATATTTTTGCTGAAAGTAGATGATTTGCCTGAGGGAAATCAGGAACGTTTTAATAGCCTATTCTCACTAAGGGAGAAATGGACAGAAGAAGATATTGTTCCATATATCCAGTAAGTAAATGATTAAAAATGGATCTTAGCCAGATGCTGGTGGCTCACACCTATAATTCTAGCTACTCAGGAGGATGAGTTCTGAGGATCACAGTTTTGAAGCCCGGCCAGAAAAGTCCCCATGAGACTCTTATCTACAATTAACAACTCAAAAAACAGAAGTGGAGCTGTGACTCAAAGTGGTAGAGTGCTAGCATTGAGCAAAAGAGCTCAAGGACTGAGTTCAAGCCCCACAACCGACATAAAAAAGGGGGGAATCTTGAGTGGAGCCATGGCTCAAGTGGAACAATACTTGCCTAACCTAAGGTCCTGAGTTCACCTCCGATTATTTTGTTCAAAGAAGTTTTGAAGATTATTCTTTTTTGTAGAATGGCATAAAAGTTTATAAAGAATGCTGCTTCCTTCAACTCTTTCTCAGGGGGGGGGTCTTCTCTATTATTGCCTATAATAAGTTGACGGAGTTGGGTTACTACTCCTTCTAGATTTATTACTATTCTCCTTCCTGCACAACTGTGGCTTCAAAGAACAGAATATCTAGCCAGTAGGACTCAAAGGAAAACACCATTCTGTGATTGCCACCCCTGATCTTTCCTATTGCTTTTGTATTTTATACTTTATGCTATCTTGTTATTTTCTTCTATCTTTTACACAGGTCTCATTGTGTGGCCTACTTTGGCCCTAAACTTGCTATATTTAGTTCAGGAATTTCTAACAGAACAGGTTTAGAGCAGAACCATTGGCTCTCCTTTCTTTACCACCCAGTTTCTTTATCGTGGTGAATAGCATCTCCACACAGCCCATGACTCAAGCAACAAGTGTAACAATGAGCCTGGCATTGTGGTTCAAGAGAATAGTCCCAGTTACTTGAAAGGTTGATGAATCACTTGAACCCAGGCATGCAAGAGCAGCCTGAGCAACAAAGGGAGCATCTATTTCCAAATAAAGACAAAACTAAAGTCTAGGAATCACCCTTGTTCTTTCCATCTTTCACCTCTGATTTTATCTTTTTGTTTCTTTTTTTGGGGGAGGTGGGGGGGTCTGGTAGTGGGGCCTGAACTCTGGGCCTGGGCGCTGTCCATCAGCTCTTCAGCTCAAGGCTAGCGCTCTACCACTTGAGCCACAGCGCCACTTTCCAGCTTTTTTCTGCTTATGTGGTGCTGAGGAATCGAACCCAGGGCCTCAAGCATGCAAGGCAAGCACTCTACCACTGAGCCAACTTCCCAGTCCCTCAACTCTGATTTTAAACGATGAACAAATTTTGATGGACCTTCTTGTACCTAACCTCTGTATCGGTCTCCCTATGTCTACTTTAGCCCCTTTCTCCTTTTTTGCTGCCTATTTTGGAAATTTTAAACATTAAAAGGGGACAATATAATGAACTCCCCATATGTCTACCACCTAGTTTCCATGATTGACTCACTGCCTCCATTTAGTTTTTTTTTTTTTTCATATAGAGCACATTATGTTTCAAATATGATGTGAAACCTTTCTAGTGATTTCCCATTAGAATTAAATCAGAACCCTTTTCAGGTCCTTCATGGCCGTCCGCAACACAATCTAGCCCTTGATCCCTTCTCCAGTTCATGTCCTCTACTCTCGTTCCAGTCATGGTCTCCTTCCTTTTGGACAGTTGAAGCTAAAATCCAGGAAGTATAGGTAACCTATGCAAGTCTACACAAGTATCCAGGCTTGCTGACTGTCTCCCCCAGTGGGCCACAGTGCTTGTGTGAGTTCATATACAACAGAAATAACAGGAGCTTTGAACTCCTAGTGATCTAATGACAAAATTTGACACTTATTTGTTACTTGTTTAAGTCTTTGTCTTCTTATCAAATACAGGGTTAAATAATGTATTGTTCCTACTTTTATTATGGAAGATTAAATGCAATAGTACATGTAATCTACTTAGCTCAATTAAGACAAAGCCATCATGCTTATCAGAAAGGGTAAGAGAGAGAAAATAACTAGTATTGTGAATATTGTATGCTCATTAAAATATTTTCATTATTCCTATTTTTGTTCTCACAGAGATTTGTGCGGAGAAAAGCAAACCACAGGTGCATTGCTCACTAAATATTCTCGTTCTTCTATGCAAAATGGAGTTAAAGTTTATAATTCCAGACGACTTATTTCTTGAAAGACCAATTTTCTTTTCTTTGGGATTAAATTGTTTTATAAAGATACTGGATATAAGAAAAATATTCTCATCTGTATTTTATTCCTCAATTTTTAACCTACCCCTTGAATTCATTTTAAACATCTTAATACTAGTATAATTTTTTTTTGTTTCTGGAAGACAACAGGATATTTCTTTACTTCCACTTTTTAAATTGTCTTCAAATAGTTATACAGGAGGGTTTCAGTTGAAAATGTCCATTGCTGTGAACAGTGCATCTTGTTCAGTGTCACTCCATCCTTTCACCATTCTTCCCCATCTATCCCATCGCCACACATCCTCAAGTTTCCTAGTTCCATTTTCTCATATGTACACTGAGTGTTATGACTGTATTTGCCCACTATTTCTTTCTCCATTCATTTGCCCTCTTCCTCTTAGTTCTTTCCCGCTCTGAGAAGGTATATTTGATTAGGATATTTCTATATCCTTCAGATTATAGTTATACTATGTACACTGCACACAAACAAAAGAATTACTTTGTGTACTTAATATGTCTGAGGTAGGTATACATAGTTCTTTTTATCCAAAGAATTTTGCTTTTATAAAAGCATTTGATGATCTGGTCACTTATAAAGTTTCTAGAGAATTAAAAACAGCAGTAGTTACATAGAGGAGATATTCACTTAAATTCCATTTCTCAATTAAGTAGGCTTTTACTTTTCCTTCCACCAAAACAGGAAGTCATTAAGTGCTGTCATTTATATGATTTGCATTGATGAAACTGCTTAATAATTACCTGTGTACTTTGGGCAAAATGCTATGTGAAGAATACTAATAGAGTAGTTTCGAATCCTAACATAGGTAATATCATTAGGAAAACTACAGGTATTTGTTTTTGGAATGCTTGATAAAGTTCCTTTATAGCTATGTTTTCCTAATTTGCTTGGGATAGACCAACGTTTGCATTAATTTGAAATTATCTAATGATTTTATCACCAGGACAGTTGTATAGGCCAAGTTAAATTAGTCCAAGGTTAAACAAAAATGTTAATAGACTGCAGGATACTGGTGGTCAACATCTGAAATCTTAGCTAATGAGGATGCTGAGATCTGAGGATAGTGCTTCAAAATTGGCTGGGCCAGTAAAGTCAGTGAGACTCTGATCTCCAGTTAACTACCAAAAAGCTGAAAGGGAACTGTGGCTCAACTAGTAGGACACTAGCCTAGAGCAAAACAACTTAGGGATGGTGCCCAGGCCCTGAGATCAAGCTTCAGAACTGACATGCACATATGCACACATACACAGATTAATAAAAACAATCCATAATTAACCAAGTTTTAGCTCTTATTGAAGTTCACTTGTTTTGCACTTATATATATATGAATATATATGTGAATATATATATATATATATATATATGAAATGCATAAGGGATGGCTTCAAAGTATTTGTCTTTAGTTTCGACAAATCCTAATCCATTATAGGGATTATGTGGTTCAATATTTATCTATATGTTTACATACAAGAAATAAAGCAGGCTGCTGGTGAGGATTCTGGTGTTGTACAGACAAGTCGGATTTACTCATTTATTTTGTAGTTCAAATCACTGGGTCATAGTGAATGAATTTATGGTGTCCACACACAGTGAAACAGATGCAAAGCCCTTGGCTCCTCCCGCTCCCCCACTTATTTCTAGTTGTCACAAAAGTCCAAGTTTCTCAGTGTCGCTAGGTCCCCTCTCCCCCTCCCCACTTTTTTTTTTTTTTGGTGCCAGCCCTGGGGCTTGAACCCAGGGCATGAGCACAGTCCTGGAGTTTTTTTTTTTTTTTTTGCTTATTGATGTCTCTACCACTTGAGCCACAGCTCCAATATTTGCTTTTTTGGTAGTTTACTGAAGATAAAGTCTCACGGATTTTCCTATTTAGGCTGATTTCGAACCGCGCTCCTTGGATCTCAGCCTCCTGAGTAGCTAGGATTACAAGCATGAGCCACAAGCACCCGGCTTAGAGATTTACTCCTTTTCAACAGTGTCCTCTCCCCTCCTACCTGCTCTGCTTTACCCAGCGAATATTTTCTTGGATCTCCTAAGTGCAAACAACCTCCACCCGCAGAGCATCTGTACTTGCAGACCTGGCAGAAGGTGAACGCTAAACACTGGGTTCATCGCTCTAGTCCCGCCCACGGACGCAAGGCTTCCGGGTTCCGTCCACGCCCCGGCCTCACTTCCGCCGGCGTTCTACGTCAGAGGTGACGGGCAAGATGGCTGCCGGCGGTCGCTTTGAGTAGTTGCGGACCAGAGAGTCTCCGTGTGGCCGAACCTCGGCGGGGGCGGCTGAGGAAAACCGAGTGGTTGGAGCGCGCTTGAAGCGGCGGAGGCCGGATCTGGGCGTACCGAGCGTCCGGACCGCGGGGCGGCCCCGCTGGGGTCGCGAGGGAGCCCGAGGCCCGCCATGCCCCGCTGCCCCGTGCGGACCCGGGATTCGCCGCTCCGCGGGGCCGCCGCGCGCTGCCGGCGGGTCTGAAACCCACGATGAACCGGAAGAAGGGAGACCGGGGCTTCGAGAGCCCGCGGCCGTACAAATTATAAGTATTCTTTCCCTTGGCTCGTCTGGCTTGTCCGATCTTGTTTCCAGCGCGCTGTGGCGGCTGCCTGAGACGGACTCGGCAGGGGTGGGAAAGTCCTGTCCAAACGGGGTGTGTGGCCGGAAGGAGGCGCCGAGTGGGCGGTGCCTTCGGTAGATTTAATTCCCATGATCGGTTAATGGACGTGAGTGCGTGCGTGCGTGTGCCCGTGTCCGTCCCTCCGTGTGTCCCAATGCTCGGGCGCACAGTCCCTGAACATCTTTTACCCAAAGTTGGCGCTCCACTGCTTGAACCACACTTCCACGTTTGGCTTTTTGGTTAATTTCACAGGAGAGTCTTACAGATTATTCTTGCCCAGGCGGTCTTTGAACCGCGAGCTTTAGATGTCAGCCTCCGGAGTAGCTAGGATTACAGACGTGAGCCTGTAATTTTTTTTTCCCCTTATCTGTTTGTTTGTTTGTTTTTTCATATACAACCCATCAGGTCGTCTGCATCAACAACATAAACTTCCAGAGAAAATCTGTTGTGGTAAGTTTATTTCCAATGACTATAAATAGTAGTAAGGTTACCTTTCATGCTACTTAGAAAACTTATATTCTTCCAGATAATGGGATTTCAAGAATAGATGAGTAAGAGTTAGAATTCAGGTCTGTTTGCTCTAAGTCCCATATTGATTCTTCCATTCATCCATTCTTTCTTTTTTTCTATTTTTATTATTCCAGATAATGGTGTTTCAAGAATAGATGAGTAAGATCAGGTCTGTTTGCTCTGAGTCCCATCTTGATTCTTCCATTCATTAATTCTTTTTTTTTTTTATTTATTCCAGTGTTCTTTCTTTTAATCTCTTGTGAGATAAGCAGCCTGCACAGCCAGGCATTTTATAGTTGTATTTGAAAGAAGGGGATATGGCTTAGTTGATTGTACTCCTTGGTTGTATGAGATCATTGGTTACATCTGAACCACTGAAAAGTATTTAAACAAGAATAAGGCCCCCCCCCCCATGTAATTGTAACCCCTCTGTACGGTATTTTCACAATTAAAAAAAAGAAAAAGAATAAGCTCATGATAGTTCCTCCCATGAAAATAAAATGATAACTAGTCTCATAGACTTGACAGCTTCCAAGAGACCACATTTGTTTTCTGATTCTTGATTTAGTGGTACTGATGTGTAGTGAAGTTTGAGACAGAGTATTTGAGATACAGTTAGCCTCCCTTCCATCCATTTAGATGTATGGATTGCTGATACCCACTGTGGGAGAATATCTGAAAGCATAAATACTTAATTTACCTTATCTGAGGGACCTGTATTACAAAGACTTAAATCTTATGAGTTGGTTAATCTTGAATGCCAGTATCAATTTCAGTTTTTAATCCCAGGATGTTAAAAGTTGCACTTGATATTTTGCATGTCCTGATTTATGCCCATTGAGCAGACACTTGAACGTGTTAGATTCAGTAGTTTTAGTTTTGTTTTGTTTTTACTGTTCTTTGTGTGTGGGCTAGTCCTGGGGCTTGAACAGGGCCTGGGTGCTCTCCCTGAGCTTTCATGCTCAAGGAGGTCCTCTACCACTTGAGTTACAGCTCCATTTCTGGCTTTTAGTGGTTAATTGGAGGTAAGAGCTGCCTCCTGAGTAGATAACAGAGGTGAGCCACCAGTGTCTACCCCTATTTTGGGGAAGAGGGGATTGTTGTTTTTTCACTTAACAACCTCTGATGAAATAAAATTCTCTATCATTTTTTCCCTGTTCCCTGTTTGGGTTCCTCTTCCTAACGGGCTTAATTTTCACAGATAGTGCAGTTGAGCCATCAAAATGATAAAGTATAAACATAACTGTATCCATTCAGTCACTAGCACAATTATGTTTGAGATTAAGATATTTGGACAACATTTGTATATTGGTAGATTGTAGTATATGTGTTAAATACTTAAATACCAAACAGAAGAAATATATTCCAAAGCATACTGATCTTTATAATGAAATTATTATTTTTCTTTGCAGGGTTTTGTAGAACTGACTATATTTCCTACAGTTGCAAACTTGAATAGAATCAAGTTGAACAGCAAGCAATGTAGAATATACCGAGTAAGGATCAATGATTTAGAGGCTGCTTTCATTTATAATGATCCAACCTTGGAAGTTTGTCACAATGAATCAAAACAGTAAGTTTAGCATTTCATTAATTGTATAAAGAGAATTTATGTAAGAAAAAAGTTTTTATTAGAAAAAAATGTGCTGAAGAGAAACTGGATAGGCAGTTTGAATAGGAGGTGGACTACCTCCAGATTATCAGCATTTGGCATTTCTAGAATTCAGTAGGGTCAAGTTCTTCAGTGGCTTGAAATCAAGATCTTGGTGTCCCTCTAGAAATGGCTCAAGATAGAGTATGGACCTCAAAGCAAAAAGTCTCGTGTTCAACTTCTAATACAAGTACCAAATAAAGGTGTTATTTGAGAATTTCAAGTAAAACTTTAAAATCATTTTTAATGTTTATATAAGTATTTCATAAATATTAAAATAATTTTCAGAGTTTAGTAGTAACAATAATCTTTAGATCTCTAAAATCCTTTGACTGCTTAAAAACACCTTATAAAATATTATGTGAACTATATTTGAGGGTACTTATTTTTTAAAGTTTAACTGACTTTTGTTCTTTTAATAACTTTAGTTTTACTTTAATCATTATGTATTGGGTGTAAAACTAGTCTTTTAACTAGGTAAAAAGCTAAGGGAATGTCCCTACCTTTACCTGTGGCTTACCTTATGGGAGGTTGATAGAAATAAAGGTGGACAGAGAAAAGGATCATGTCTTTCATCTTGTTTTCTTATTCTTTCTTCCTTTTTCTTTCTGCCATATTCCTCTAACTGATTTCAGTGAGCAAATGTATATTTAATATGTACTTTTTTAAAAAACAAAATTAAGTTAGAAAATAGAAGAAAATTATTTTTCTATTTCTATAAGACTTTTGTTTCATCCAGTGGGAAATAAGGGCATATAATTATCAAACAAATATTATTTTTCAATTTTACATTTTCTCTTTACAGTTGTATCAGAAAACTATAGAGATCTTAGCATTCCAAAATTAATTTAAGAAATAATGATCATAGAGCATTGGAGAATATGTATGCCATTGTGTTTATACAGTTTAATAGTTTTTCCTTGGTGAGTAGAGTACCAGTTACTTGACTAAAACTTACTCCTATGACTTGTGTGAGAAGATACAATGTTTATAAACAAATATTGTCCAAGTTTACCGAAATCTTGACTTACTGCTAATAAACATTGGCTTTTCCTCCTGTAGGCGAAATCTCAATTACTTTTCTAATGCTTATGCTGCTGCTGTTACTGCTGTTGATCCTGATGCAGGAAACGGAGAACTTTGCATTAAGGTTCCATCAGAGCTGTGGAAACACGTTGATGGTAAAGCACCAAGAATAAATGACTATACATTAAATCATGTTACATTTAGAGGCCAGAAGAAGGACATGAAAATTCTTGTTATCTATGTTGCAAAATAACTTCTTGAAATATATAGAAGGGGTTGGAAGCTCTTTTTTTTGTAATTAGCATAAATTTATTGTCCCAAAGCTGTTTTATTGGATTGTTTCCATACATGCCTATAATGTACTTTGATCAGATTTGCTCCATTTCATAAATTCTCTTCTTTTTCTTAAGGTCCACTAGCTAACAGGAAAATACTAATCATGGGCATGACAAAAACACATAGTTTCATTTGTATTAACATTATTTTTTTTTCCTGGTTTACTTTTTGTCCTGTATGATACAGCAGGTGGAATCCGGGCTTCAAGGAAACTATGCAAATTGTCTGCCACTGAGTTATATCCTTTTTATTGATTGTATGTGTGCATGTGCATGCTGTTCCTGTGGCTGGCACTATCCCAAGCTCCTTTGCTCAAGGCTCATACTCTACAACTTGAGCCTCTGCGCCTCTTCTGGACATTTCTGAGTAGTTTACTGGAAATAAACAAGCCTTTCCAAGGCTGGCTTCGAACTGCAATCCTTAGATCTCAGCCTCAATCCTTAGATCTCAGCCTCCTAGGTAGCTAGGATTAAAGGTGTGAGCCACCAACCTCTGGTATTAAAGATATTTTTTAAAAAGTCATGGATGTAACAGTGTAAAGATTTGATATTCTATGCAGTATCAAATTGGTTTAGAATTAGAATATTTTAGTAGGAAAATGATTAAAAAGTATCTAGTTTAATTCCTTCATTTAACAGGAGAACAGCCTGAAGTCTGATGAGATTCCTGGCATTCTTTTTTTTGTTTTTGGTCGGTCATAGGGCTTGAACTCTGTGCCTGGGTGCTGTCCCTCAGCTCTTCAGCTCAAGGCTAGTGCACTCCCACTTGAGCCACAGTGCCACTTCCAGTTTTCTGGTGGTTAATTGGAAATAAGAGTCTCACGGACTTTCTTTCTCAGGCTGGCTTTGAACCGAGATCCTCAGATCTCACCCTTCTGAGTAGCTAGGATTACAGGTGTGAGTCACCACCAGCGCCTGGCCCTGGACTTATTCTGTATACTCGAAGCATATCTTTTCTAAATCTTCATTTTCTGTTTTTTAAAAGATGGTGCATATTGTATACAGTTTCTTTTCCATTCTAGGCAGATGTACTACCAATGAGCCATATTACCCACCTCTTCATTTCCTTCTCTATGCTTTTGCCTATTTTTATTTAATCTTATAATTAATCAAGAAATTAAAAGACGTGTTTGGTTTGCTTTCTGTTTTGGGGTCAGGGTATATAGAAGGGTTTTTATGTTTTATTGCAGGGCACAGAATGGAGTTTATGTGTTTAGGGCAGAAATTGGTTCATCATTTGTGTTCAGATGGTTGTAATTGCTGGGTGTTAAATAATTTTAATGTTAATGAAAACAACACATTTATTCTAAATCAACTAGAATTATCAGTTTTGAGAGAAACACAGCAGGAAAAAAACTTGAAAAGTTTGCAGTTGTATTTGAAAGGCCTTAAGTGTCTATTATAGGGGTTGGGTTTGTTTTGTTTTGTTTTGTTCTGTGATACTTAGGATAACCCAGGCCCAGAACATACTATGCAAACACCTCACCAGTAACTTAGATCCCCAGCTGTACTTTTTTTTTTGGTCGTGGGGCTTGAACTGTGGGTCTGGGCGCTATCTTTCAGCTCTTCAGCTCAAGGAGAGTGCTCTACCACTTGAGCCACAGCACCACTTCCAGGTTTCTGGTGGTTAATTGGAGATAAGAGATTCACAGACTTTCCTTCCCTGGGCTGACGTTTAACCATGACCTCTGATCTCAGCCTCCTGATTAGCTAGGATTACAGGCCTGAGCCACCAGTGCCCGACATTCCTGCTGCACATTTTTCCTTTAATACATTGAAGTTTGTCAGAAACATTGAAGGGTAGGACTTTATAGAAGACTGTGAGCACTGATTAGATTAATTGGAGATAGGAATACCTGTGGAGTAGGGCATGGTATTAAGTAGACAGAGAAATGATAAATCCTAACATAAGGCATGATTTTTAATATAAAATTCAGGTTTTGATTCTCATTTTGTATTCACTGTCTTTAACCTTGTAATATAGGTTACTTTATACTTTTATGTGTCAACTGATATGTATACATGTTTATTTCTTGCAGAGTTAAAGGTCCTGAAGATACACATTAATTTTTCTTTGGATCAGCCGAAAGGAGGTCTTCATTTTGTGGTACCCAGTGTAGAGGGGAGTATGGCTGAAAGAGGTGCTCATGTCTTCTCTTGTGGGTATCAAAATTCCACAAGGTAGATTATAAACTATTTCAGTTCATTTGGTTTTCCAATTGTGTATTTGTTGTGTAGATATTTTGTACATTGTAGCAAGTATAAACTTACACCTCTTGCAAATCATGTCCCATTAATTTTTTTTTGTCGTTCTTGTGTCTTACTCTTCTTTGTATCCTTTCAAGTTGTATTCTGACATAATCATTTTCCTTGCTTCTTTTCTTTACACTGAAGTAGCACATATGTACAGAAAAAATGCACAAATGTTTTGTGTAATGCTCAGAAGTGCACAAGACCATAGTCACACTGACATCAAGACCCACAGCATTACTACTAGCATTACAGATGTATTTCCTACTTGTTCTCATTCACCATCCCCCACCCCAAGCATGTTTCTCTCCCACGATCCTATTAACTTCATGTAAATGGAACTATATGTATTATATTTTTCATATTTAGTATTTTTGTTTGTTTATTTGTTGGTCATGGGCCTGAATGCTGGGCCTGGGCACTGTCCCTCAGCTCTTCAGCTCAAAGTTAGCACTCTACCACTTGAGCCACAGCACCACTTCTGGCATTTTTTCTGCTTATGTGGTGCTGAGGAATCAAACCCAGGGCCTCATGCATGCAAGGCAAGCACTCTAC